TCTCAGAGTCAATAATGAGACGACGAGGTGAGTCCTATACACTGGCCCATAAGCTAAATTACATTTTGCTGTTACATCCTAAATATTTCCTTCTACTTTCTCCATAGCATTCTGGAATAGGCTCCCTGGCCTGTTGCAGTTCGAAATAAGTTTCTGAACTTATGACATCGAACTTTAATAAGTCTCCTTGCCCAGAGAAGGGGGGCTGTTCTGCGCACCTCAAGGTTATCCCTACACAGAACCACGGAAGCAAAGATGAAACGTGAAGAAATACCATTCCTTCTGGGCTAAGAACCAACAAACCTGTACTGGCTTGTTAGGAAACATAGCGCGCCTTAGACTACACGGATACTCTGATTGGCCTGCATTGCCTAAACATAAATATAAATATACGGGTACAGGGGTCGAGGAGGTAGAAATCTTTGCAATAGGAAAGCAGGTATACGAGGTTTGCACGGAACTTCTCTACTTCTCCAGGATCGACTCAATGCATTTCCTGTCATCAGAATATTACATCATCACAGCCTTCTTTCGTATTAACCTCCCAGCTACAAACGCACTCACAGTGAATAGTGCAGTGGCTTACCTGCTTTTCGCAGCGACGCTGGGCTGTCGCCGTCACAGTCGTCACAGGGCGTTGAGCTGTCGCCATCCCAGGCGTCACAGTTCGCTGTGCTGTCGCCGTCACAGGTCGCTGTGCTTTCGCCGTCACAGGGCGCTGTTCTGTCGCCATTACAGGCGTCACAGGGCGCTGGGCTTTCGCCATCCCAGGCGTCACGGGTCTCTGTGCTATTGCCCTCACAGGTCGCTGTTCTGCNTCGCCATCCCAGGCGTCACGGGTCGCTGTGCTATCGCCGTCACAGGTCGCTGTGATGTCACAGTGCGCTGTGCTGTCCCCGTCACATGTCGCGGTACTGTCACCGTAATATTGCCCTGTGCTGTCACCGCCACAGTGCGCTGTGCTCTCGCCGTCACATGTCGCGGTGCTGTCGCCGTCACATGTCGCGGTACTGTCACCGTAACAGTGCCCTGTGCTGTCACCGTCACAGTGCGCTGTGCTCTCCTCGTTACATGTCGCGGTGCTGTCGCCGTCACATGTCGCGGTGCTTTCACCGTCACAGTGCGCTGTGCTGTCGCCGTCACATGTTGCGGTGCTGTCACCGTCACAGTGCGCTGTGCTCTCGCCGTCACAGTGCGCTGTGCTCTCGCCGTCACATGTCGCGGTGCTTTCACCGTCACAGTGCGCTGTGCTGTCGCCGTCACAGGTCGGTGTGCTGTCGCCGTCACAGGTCGCTGTGCTGTCGCCGTCACATGTCGCGGTGCTGTCGCCGTCACATGTTGCGGTGCTGTCACCGTCACAGTGCCCTGTGCTGNCTGTCGCCGTCACAGGTCGCTGTGCTGTCGCCGTCACAGATCGCTGTTCTGTCGTCGACACAGGTCGCTGTTCTGTCGCCGTTACAGGCGTCACACGGCTCTGTTCTGTTGCAGTCACAGGCGTCAAAATTTGCTGTGCTGTCGCCGTCACAGATCGCTGTTCTGTCGCCGACACAGGTCGCTGTTCCGTCGCCGTTACAGGCGTCACACGGCTCTGTTCTGTTGCAGTCACAGGCGTCAAAATTTGCTGTGCTGTCGCCGTCACAGATCGCTGTTCTGTCGCCGACACAGGTCGCTGTTCCGTCGCCGTTACAGGCGTCACAGGGATCTGTTCTGTTGCAGTCACAGGCGTCAAAATTTGCTGTGCTGTCGCCGTCACAGGTCGATGTTCTGTCGCCGACAGAGGTCGCTGTTCTGTCGCCATTACAGGCGTTACAGGGATCTGTTCTGTTGCAGTCACGGGCGTCACAGGTCGCTGTTCTTTCGCCGACACAGGTCGATGTTCTGTCGCCGTTACAGGCGTCACAGGGCTCTGTTCTGTTGCAGTCACAGGTGTCACAGGTCGCTGTGCTATCGCCGACACAGGTCGCTGTTCTGTCGCCGTTAAAGGCGTCACAGGGCTCTTTTCTGCTGCAGTCACAGGCGTCACAGGTCGCTGTGCTATCGCCGTCACAGGTCGCTGTTCTGTCGTTGTCTCTAGTTCTGTTCCGAGGCGCCTGGAAAACTGAACATATCACAGTGGCTTCAGGAACGGGTAGCTAAATGGCTTAATCGCCGTCGATATTGCGTGATTCAAGAATAGTTTGCGGCATCACAAAATTAATATTCGTTGTGAATTTTCTTCGATTTGAACAATTACACCACGGCAAAATGCTTCACACACCTACACACATGCAATGTATTGTGACGAATATGATCATATGCTAGGCCATGGCTAGTTGAACACTTCATAAAAACCGGAATGATTGCAGAAACGACTATTATAATAGTCGTTTCTGCAATCATTAATTGAATAATTAATTGAATGAATAATTATTCATTGCTAGACAACTAATGGTTGCAACAAGTTTCGCGACAACGAACACGCTTGGAGTGATGAAATCGTTTCCCAAATTAACACAAGATTCTGAGGCAACTGATTCTTCGAAAACAGTAATGGAATCCTTGAACGTGGTGACTTCTATGAGGACCGCGTGGTAGGATCAAAAGTAAGTGGATTCGTGATTTTGTTAAGATTGATGTCATTCAAGGCATTCCGAAAGTCATTCATAAGGAAATTCAGATGGCAGTTCAATAGTTGAAAGTTTAAGCAGATGAGGTTCGTTACCGAGCAACGACTAGCAAGGAGACGTTGAAGATTTCCTTTTGTGTGTTATAGTCACAGTAATACGTATTTAGAGTGTTAAAATTATTTGTAGTTACAACTTGTGAGTGTCTAGAAGAAAAAATTAAAGTTATTCCTGTAACAGGTTGTGGAGGCCCATAGGGTTGTGAGATGTTGAGGTTTCAACATTTTCTAGAAAATCGGCTCATAGATGGCGGCAAGATTATCAGCCTTACTCGCCGGCCGCCCTTTACCCCCAAGAATATTCGAAGAATATTCCTGGTACTCATTTCTGTTAGAGGCTGAGTCGATCCCAGGGCCATAGTGCGGCTGGAATGATTAGGCCAATTGAAAAAAAATCCAGTGACGTCATCGAGACTTGAACCCGCGACCTCCATGCTTGTAGCATAGTGCCTCAACCAACTACGCTATCGCGTACCCCCTGGTGAGTGTCTAATAATTCTATTCATCTAATCCAGAAACCATTATAATTATTCACACCAATCAGGAACATGTGACAGTACGTCTTTCTTTGTTGTGTGTCCCCGTGCCAAGATGCAACGGTGTTCCAGTCACGAGTACATAAGAATATGCCATTATCCATTATCCTCAGATAAATAAAACCAACAATCTCACACACTAATTATGAATGCTAATATTACAATGCGATATGCAGTATAACAGGTCGGTCTGTCGCATTCAAGCTTTGCACTAATATGATGTCTTCAAGGTGTGCTACATGTCTGTTATCCTATCAGATTCGTATTAGATGTAATAATTTATTTTTATTTTGTTTCTAATTATTTTAAAAATTTAATATGATATTGTGACGTATAGACTCGTCGTTAAGCGGTGACTGAACAGCGGCCGTTGAGGCACGCAACAACAGAGAAACTGTTTTCTTAGTGGTTAGAAGTGGGATGTTACGTAAGGACTCTGGCAGAAGGACATCAGTTAAAGGAATTGTGGTCCTGATCGGCGGTAAACCGCCAGCGTTAAATTCACTTCGACTTTGACTTTGCTCTCATAAAATATGGTAAAGAGTACCGTGGGACTCTAAACCAAGGATCACTGTGCTGTTGAGGGCCAGCAGCAGTTTAACAGCCAGCTAAGTTCAGTTGTGAGACAGTGGCCATCCGGGAATGACCTGAGCGTGGAAGCTGAAGAATCTCCACTGCTAGAAGCCATTATCTGAAAACGGCTAGTGTAGACACTGCGGTGTGGAATACATTTAGCGAGGATTCTGGTGATGTGTAAAGTGTGGAGATCAGCGATGGCGTATGTTAAAGTGGTCAATAAATGAGTCACCAAAACTAATTTGCCTCTATAGTCACTCATAAACGTGACAATATCTATAATACATCTAATTTGACAATTTGCCAGAAACACATTTTTTCAATCAGCATGATAATTTGCTTTTTTATTTCAGTATGAACATGTCTGAAATTTGCTTACCTTATCACGTACCCATCTTTGGATGCACTCGAAGCACCCGCCGGTGGACGAGTCTCGGGAGTCTTCTGTGCCCTCTCCCGTGTTGTCTGGGCATTTCCTTTCATAACAATCTTCATCACTATTCAAGTCATTCTGAAAGGGACAACGAATTTTATCGAAATTTCAGTTCTATAAAATTCTTACTTCCAAAATTTGCCAGACACGTATGTTTCAGTCAACATGATAATCTGTCGTTTTAGTTTCAGTATGAACATGTCTGAAATCTGCTTACGTTTTTGCAGCATATCCATGTTCGGACCCACCCGAAGCAGCCGCTGATGGACGAGTCTCGGGCCTGTTTAGTGCTCTCTCGGAGTTTGTCATGAGGAGAGCAGTTGTCACCTTCCATTTCGGTCGGAAAACATGCATGAATGCTCTCCGTACCACGTTCCATCTCCAAACCAGAATGACCTATGTTAACAGACATTTCCGTGTTTGCTTTTCACGTTATTACTCACACAGTCTTCTCTGGCGATAGGTTGAAATGCCAATTGAATGCTGTAACAAAGAAAATACGTCACGATTATGTTATCTGAAATCAGGAAATTAATTAGTTGAAGTCTAAAGGATATGAAGGTATATATGTGCGTTTATGTTTTAAACGTTGTGCTTTAAATGCAACTAAGATATTGTAGCGTGTTTTGTCACTGAAGACGCCGTTCGGATTGTTAATTGGTTTGTTTAACAACCTACAAGTCTCGGCTACAATTAATTACCACAACGTTTCGGGTTTACACATTTTATAACCCTATTCGCAATAATCTGTTCACTCTATCTTCAGTAGTCTACACGTATTCACAGTACGGGAGCTATATAAGTGTTACTGTGTTACACACTCCCAATTACCTCTCAGTTATCACGAACTATCACTGATTATCACATGCGCGTCCGGTTCTTCTTTCCGCGACTGCTGGTATATTCCAACTGTGTCACTCCTGATCACACACTAACTCTCGCTTACTGGTCAGCCGGCTTCTTATACCGTTCGCTGTTGCCTGTTGCCCGTGTCAACAGCGGCGTTGCGTGGCTTGTCACAGCGTAAAGCTGTGCCACGTCACAGTGCGGGGGGTGAGAGCGCAGCGCTGACTCACCTGCTACGTCACCGGGGCCAGAGCTGCCATGTGACAGCTGGGGAGGTAGGGGGTGTCCTCCATTGCGCAACATGTCACAATTTTGTCACGTGTATGAGTGGCCACAGACGTGGTTAGGATTGGTGAATAGATTTGCTGACCATGTACAGGTCGTAACTACAAATAACTATAATATTATCAATGATTTCCTCAGTACACAAGTCACTACATGCTAAGTTTTCTTAGTTTGTTTTACTAATCGCTACCTGATAATAAATTATAACGATGAAGGTTCTCCCAGTTCAACTGATATCAAATGCTGGCAACGAAAATGTAAAGGTAACCGTAGAAACGAAACACGTATACATAAAGCAAGGAAACTTGTGAATTTATATATATGACACTCGAAAATGATTAATATCTTGAAGCCATAAAAATCATATGTCGCAATATCTCGGACTAAAAATAAAAACATTATCGCGATTGTTTAATAAATTGTTCTGTCTTCCAACACCAATAGCAGTAGGAGCTGTAGAATGTATACTACCATCTAACGGTCTGAATACGAACTATGGAACTATCTCGTAGGTTATTTTTACTGGAATTGAAACTCACAATTACGCTGTAAGGCAGGGTTTCCATTAATAACTTGCGGAGGCAAGACTTATACAAGCTCCAGCACGGTATGTCTGTTTTAATTCATGGTGCAACGGCTTTTCTAGGTGTAGTTAAATCCAAGGAAGAAATTAAGTTTAGTTTATGTCTGCTTTAATTTTATTCAACATAACCCATAATTTAGCACGTGCATCATGTTTGTCTTGTTTTCTGATGAATTATTTCGAGGTTTTGAGACAATTTATTCTACTTTTAGAGGGATGGGGTATGGGCATGAAAAGTTGTAATATCCAGCAACTTTCATTCTGCTAGACTACCGCAAAAGAAATATTTGTGCAGGATACATTTCTTGGAAAGTAAGTTCACGATTAAGCTATCTGAAATCAGGAAATTAAATAGTTGAAGTCTAATAAATATAAAAGAGTATATGCTTTAAAAAGCAATTAACATATTGTCAAGTGTATGAGTGGCTATAGACGTGATTAGGATTGGCGAATAGAGTTATTGACCATGTACAGGTCGTAACTACAAATAACTATAATATTATCAATGATTTCCACAATACACAAGTCACTACATGCTAAGTTTTCTTAGTTTGTTTTACTAAACGTTACCTGGTAATGGATTATAACGATGAATGTTGTCCCAGTTCGACTGATATCAAAGAGACTGATATCAAATGCTGTGGAACCCCAGTTATATTCCTTTGGACGGACAAAATAGAAAACTCGACTCAGTTTGCCTACTGTTGATGCGGGCGGTTACATAGCAACAGGCTAAAATATGAAAGTAGGCTTGTGAACTCACCTTTCTGTTTGCATATTCCCTTGTTGCTAGGCTTTGGCTCGGTAAACAGGTTCCCACGGCAACGGACACGTCACAGTAGAAGGATTTTTGCACGCCTCATTTTCTATGCGGCCCGTGTCATATCAAAGGAAATAATGCGATTAGTTGTTCCGAGAGCTTAGTTCTTCACTTTTACCCCTCTACTTTTTACGGGCAGCAACTGATGAGTTCACATATAAATTATTTTTCTTTGAGGGACAAAAGATGGCAACGAAAATGTAAACGTAACCATAGAAACTAAACACGTATACATAAGGCAAAGGAACGTGTGAATTTATATATATGACACTCGAAAATGATTAATATCTTGAAGCCATAAAAATCATATGTCGCAATATCTCGGACTAAAAATAAAAACATTATCGCGATTGTTTCATAAATTGTTCTGTCTTCCAACACCAATAGCAGTAGGAGCAGTATAATGTATACCACCACCTAACGGTCTGAATACGGACTATGAAACTATCTCGTAGGCGGCATGAGCACCATGGACACTAGGTTTCAAAGGCTGTGGCAGGATGGGCAGGATGGTGCAGAGAGGTGTGGAGGTTACAAAATAGTAAGGTTAGAGGAGTGATGTGTCATTTATTAAGACAGACGTAACATAATTCTGTTAAAATTAAGTAATAATGATTCATGTAGCAACGGAGGAAAATGAAACTGTTCCGAAGAAATCTGAAACAACAAATGAACATGAAAAACCCAGAGAAAAGAAGGAACGCTTTCGTCCCCCAACCAAGGTATATGAATTAATGCATATCTTCAGCAGAGTTCGAAAATGCGAACGAATGTCGACAACCACGCACATATACTTTTTTCTTCGGTATAATACTTCGTAATGAGCTTATATACGTTGCATGTGAACTACACAGCTTTATGAATAGACATTTTTATTCCGGCCACCAAGATCATTTATAAATCTTAATCTTGCCATTTTTTTAATTTTTACAGGTTGTGATACGGAGATTACCTCCCACATTAACAAAAGATGCATTTATAAGTCAGATATCGCCTCCGCCTGAACACGATTATCTATATTTTGTATGTCCTGACAAAAGTCTGGGACCATTTGCTTTCTCAAGAGCATACATTAACTTCATTAAGCAGGAAGATGTTTTTACATTTAAAGAGCAGTTTGACAACTACATTTTTATGGATAAGAAAGGTAGGAGTAGCTGACAGCTGTTTAAATTAATATAACAGTACTGTAGAGCTCCTATATAACTGGAAAAAGTGTAATTTATTACAGGTCAGCAGAGAGCAAATGAGTATGCATCAGGTTGGGAGATATGATGCTATTCCATTTCTAAAAGACTCATTTGCTAGAGAAGTCCTCGATTTTAAGATCATTCCAAGTGAGATAAAAAGCAATAATACATTCAAATCAGGGAACTTGTCAGATTATGATGGAATAACAAATAAAAGTAAAAGGCCTTATAGGCCTCGATGGCCTGTTAACAGGGATAGCTTCACCATATACAGGGAGGTTCTTAACTTTGTTGACCAGTTCATGGCTCTGCACTTCACAGTGACCGGTGCACCACTGACTGTGAGACATAGATGAATTTTGCCAATAAATCAGTATGCCTGATGGCCAGTAATGTTTGGAATTCAGGGAAGTTACTGACTTCATGGATCGCTTGATGCCATTACATTTCACGGCAAGCAGTGTGGTTCATGTGTGGGAATTTGTTTATGATTTGTCAGCAGTGGGTGACAGTAATCAGCTCCATTAGCCACTCGTTCTCAGTAACAATTAGTAGGCAGCATGTTCCATCATGGTGCGGTATACGTTAGAGCAACGTGTGTTTCTGTATGACACCTATGTGAAATACAGGTCTGCTAACTGTTGGCAAAAATCTCAACATAAACTCCATGAAGAAAGAGTTCCTAGCAGACAAACAATTCACTGTTTGGTGAATAAACCTAGATCAACTTGACTCTTAAATGACAAGAAACAAAAGCATAAGTGCTGAGTTCTTACTGAGGAAGAGTTAGATGACATAGGAGCCACACTTGAATGTGCACCTAGGAAAGCACTGAAACATCTAGCTCATGAAACTAGAGTGTCAATGTTTAGTGCAAGAAGTGCAACAGAATTGCTGAAGCTTAGACCCTATGAAACAACAGTAATTCACACCTTGCAGCCACGCAATCCATCTAGCAGGGTTCATTCATGCACTTGATTTCTACAGTCTGTCATCAAAGGTGAGAACATTTGCAGCTGATATTCATTTCGGGTGAAGGGTGGTTTCACTTACGGGGATACATAAATATGCAAAATAATTGATACAGGAATTAACAGAATCAACATCTAATCCATGAAGTCTTGCTCCATCAAGTGAAAGTTGGTGTCTGGTGTGCTGTAAGTGCAAGGATTGTTGGACCTGTGTTTTTTTAATGAAACGATTAATTGCAAAAAATATGTACAGGTCATTCTTGAGCAGTTCTTTCCACAGTTAACAAAATTACGAGGGTTGGAACTTTAATAGTGGCAACACTGCTGTAGAGACGCCATGCAACAGAACCAAATAATGTCGCTTGTACCACACATTAGTTACATACCTACCTTACCTCAGAGCAAATGGACTCTCCCTTCCCACATCACGCGCATGCACAGTGACGAGAAAGCCAGAGCCTCATGTTAGCTGGCAGTCTAATGTAGTGTTGTCACGATGTTTTCGAAACAGGAACAGCAGAGTTGGATAAAGATTGAATGTTCCAGAGGCCATACAGCATGACAGTGTCATCAAGGTCTTCAAGAGGCTTGTGGGGAATCTGCATTGCCTTACAGAACAGTGGCAAGGTGGGTAAAAGCCTTCAACGAGGGACACCAAAATGTGGCAGACACATGTTGGCCAAGTCATCCTAGTGTCAGTGAAGAAGAAGTGTATGCTCTTTCCGCGTTACTGGAGAGCAATCGATGCCATACAATTCGTGAGCTGGCCCGAGAGGCAGGATTAGCGCATACGACTGTGTTTCACATTCTGAAGGAACNAATGTAGTGTTGTCACGATGTTTTCGAAACAGGAACAATGGAGTTGGATAAAGCTTGAATGTGCCAGAGGCCATACACATGACAGTGTCATCAAGGTCTTCAAGAGGCTTGAGGGGAATCTGCATTGCCTTACAGAACAGTGTCAAGGTGGGTAAAAGCCTTCAACGAGGGACACCAAAATGTGGCAGACACATGTTGGCCAAGTCGTCCTAGTGTCAGTGAAGAAGAAGTGTATGCTCTTTCCGTGTTACTGGAGAGCAATCGATGCCATACAATTCGTGAGCTGGCCCGAGAGGCAGGATTAGCGCATACAACTGTGTTTCACATTCTGAAGGAACGCCTGGGCATGACAAAAATTGCATCACGATGGGTTCCACGTGATTTGAAGGAAATGCAGAAATGGAAAGCTGTGGCTGATTTGTTCAATCAGTGGGGCTGGAAAGTGCTGTACCATCCACCATACTCCCCATACTTAAGCCCTTGTGACTTTGACTTATTCCTAAGATGAAGGAACCACTTTGTGGCATTCACTTCAGAACTGTTCCAGAGATTCTTCAGGCAGTAGGCCGCGCCATTTGAACTATTAGCACAACAGGCGGTGCTAAAGGTATCGTACAGCTTCCACATCACTGGCAATGGGTTGTACACAGTGCTGGTGACTACATTGAAGGACAGTAAAACTTTGAAACATGCATCTATTTTGTATNTGATTTGAAGGAAATGCAGAAATGGAAAGCTGTGGCTGATTTGTTCAATCAGTGGGGCTGGAAAGTGCTGTACCATCCACCATACTCCCCATACTTAAGCCCTTGTGACTTTGACTTGATTCCTAAGATGAAGGAACCACTTTGTGGCATTCACTTCAGAACTGTTCCAGAGATTCTTCAGGCAGTAGGCCGCGCCATTTGAACTATTAGCACAACAGGCGGTGCTAAAGGTATCCTACAGCTTCCACATCACTGGCAATGGGTTGTACACAGTGCTGGTGACTACATTGAAGGACAGTAAAACTTTGAAACATGCATCTATTTTGTATCAGTTGTAAATAAATAGTTGCCACTATTAAAGTTCCAACCCTCATATAAATACTCTATGGCTGGTTTCAGCAAGACTCAGCTACTGCCCACTGCACGTATGTCTGCACAGGCTTTGTCCAATGTCTTCAGGGACAGAATTATCAGCAGTGGTATTTGGAACCATGTTCACCCAGTCTTAATCTTTGTGATTTTTTTCTTCTGGGGTTGTTTGAAGGACAAATTTTACGGCAGTAACTCCTGAATGGAAGAAGAACTAAAAAAGATATTCACAGGGAAATTGCAAATGTTCCTGCCGAATAGCTTCAGAGTATGAAACAGAACAGTTTTGCATTGAAATTTTTTGTAATTTATTGCCATCATCATCACCTGTCTCTCTCTCTCCTCATTCTTCATAGTTTTGTCCCATCATGGGTTTCTGTCTTCAGTTTTGACAGTAATCTGTTTTCTTAGCCTTTCAAACCTTCCATACTGGGCTTAATATAAATTTATGTATTGGTCTCCCTCTTCTTCTTCACCTTGTAGTGACCAGTGTAACGCATCTTACAGTAACATCTCCATTTATACAGTATGACCATACTCTCACCGCTCTCTTCTCTGGTCACCTGTCAGTGCTGAAGTAACATCTATTCTTCCATAATGTTTCATGTCACCTGAAAACATCTTGAATAACTGAGTTCAGATGCTGTTAATTTACTTCTCAGTCTTTCAGTCAGTGGCTACATTTTACCTCTGTGGAACAATGTTTTCAACTATGCTGCTATGTTATAATTGATAACAAAAGGAATAAGTATAAGGTTGTTGGCACAGTGTTCATACCAGTTTGGCACAAAAATTGAAAGTGACCCACACATCAACAGCATAGTGACCTTATAAACGTTTCCCCCTCTATAGAAAGGAAAGTAGGTTAATGACTAGAATATGTAAAAAAAAATGCAATTAATATATAATTTTCCTATGTTTAAAATCACTCTCACTCACTCATGGAGCTAAGCCCTTCTTGAGAAGCTGCCAGTTGTGCAGCTACTCAAATTTGCAGCATTTTGTGGAACACAAAGGTTCATTACCGTGTTCACTAGAGCCCGCCACTGGCCCATATTCTGACCCAGCTCTATCAAATCCATACCATGCCATCCTAACTTTCTAAGATCCATTTTAATATTGTCCACCCACCTACGCCTTGGTCTTCCCAGTGGTCTCTTTTCACCTGGCTTTCCCACAAATATCCTATATGCATTCCTTTTCTCCCCCATTTGAGCTACATGCCCTGCCCACCTCATCCTCCTTGACATGATCATACTAATTATACTTGGAGAAGAGTACAAGTTACAAAGCTCCTCATTATGCTGTTAACTCCAACCTCCTGTCAATCCATCTCTCTTCAGTTCATATATTCTCCTCAACACCCTGTTCTCAAACACCCTCAATCTGTGTTTCTCCCTTAATGTCAGAGACCAAGTTTCACACCCATACAGAACTACAAGCAATATTATAGTTTTGTATATTCTTATTGTGTTTTTGGACAGCAGATGAAAAGACAAAAGGTACTGGGCTGAATGGTAGCAAGCATTATCTGAATTCAGTCTCCTCTTAATTTTCTCCTCAATCAGGTTTTGATTTGTTATCGTCATTCCCAAATATCTGAACTGTGTCACATTTTCAAAACATCTGTTACCTATCTTTATGTCATGATTTTGCCCTGTATTCTGGTGATGAGACAGCAACACATACTTAGTTGTTTCTGTGTTTACTTCTAGACCAACCTGTTTACTAGCGTCAGTTATAGTTTGTGTGTTTTTCTTTGTGTTATCTATATTATCACCCAGTAGATTCACATCATCAACATAGACCAACAGCTGATGTGTCCCATTTAATTTCAGTCCCACCTGGTTTTCCTGGACCTTCATAATGGCATGTTCCAAAACAAAGTTGAAAAGGAGTGGCGATAAAGCATTTCAGTCCCACCTGGTTTTCCTGGACCTTCATAATGGCATGTTCTAAAACAAAGTTGAAAAGGAGTGGCGATAAAGCATTTCAGTCCTACCTGGTTTTCCTGGACCTTCATAATGGCATGTTCTAAAACAAAGTTGAAAAGGAGTGGCGATAAAGCATCTCCTTGTTTTAGACCTTTCTGGATAGGAAAATTATCAAATAAATGTTTACCTATACGTACTTTACCATCCGTTTCGTTTTTACACATTTTAATCAGCCTAACTAGTTTCATGGGTACTTCAAACTCTATCAGAATATTGTACAATACTTCCCTCCTAACTGAATTATAGGTTTTCTTTAAGTCTATGGATAGCTGATGTACTGTCACATTGCACTCCCATTTTTTCTCCAGTATCTGACAAATGCAAAAGATTGGATCAGTCAAAACCCACACTGATATCCCCAATAATCTCATCTATGTATGAACTGAACCTTGATAGAAGGATATTGGATAAAATTTTGTATGTAGTTGATGTTAGATATAGGAACATCATGCTTTTGACAGTAAGTTTGTTGGATGTGGCTAAGTTTACTACTCTTTAACTCCATTATCTTTACTAATTTATGTAAACTCTCATCCCCAGTTGTCGGTTTGGAAATGTCTTCTCTACCTACTTTGGCATTGAAATCTTCCAACAAAATTTTCATATGGTACTTCAGGAATTTGTCAAATACGTGTTCTAGTTCTTCATAGAACCTGTCCTTTATACAGGGTGGGGCGCAGAAACTTCCTTTTTTTGAAGGTGAATAAAAGAAAAATTATTGCTGATAGACAAAATTTATGTTTAGCTAATGAAAGAACATACTTCAAAGTTTTAAATCATGTAGTTTTAAACAAAATATCTTGAAGGTGGTGGCCACCGTTCTCTGTGCACTGATGCAACCGTTTTCTGAAGTTCCCCTCTGCACGTTCCAACATGTGCACCAGAATTTGGGCTGCTTCCTGCGGAATATCATTCTTCAGCTGAAGCAGGTTTGTTGGGCGATGTTTAAAAACCACTGCCTTGAGGTATCCCCATAAAAGAAATCACAGAGCGTTAGATCAGTTGAGTGTGCTGCCCACGGGATGTCACCTTGAAGCGAGATGAGCCGTATGGGGAACTTTGCCCTCAAAACTGTCATCGAAGCTCGGGCTGTGTGGGCCGTGGCACCATCCTGTTGGAACCAGACATTTCCTAGATGCATTGCTTCAAGAGCTGGTTCGAAAAAGTTTTTAATATTGTCCACATACCGCTGTGAATTGACAGTAACTGCATGATTGTCTTCTTCTTCTTCAAANGTGAAGAATTCAGCGCATTGAACAGTTGGATATGTCTAGGGCGACTGCATGTTTGCAATCGGAGCATCTTGGAGATCTCAAAATCGACTGTCGAACTGCCTCCACATTTTCTGGTGTTGTAACAGTCCGTTGTCATCCTGATGATTTTTTCACCATACTCCCGGTTGTCCTGAAGTTCTCTATCCTCAAAACAATAGATTTCCAGTTGGGAACCGGACCTCTGGCCTTAATTCCAAAGTGAGTACGGAACTGACGCTGCACTGCCACGTAGGAGTGGTTGTTCGAAAAATAGGCTTCGACACCAAATGCACGCTGCTCACTCATCCACCTCATGTTTCCTACTGAGGGGTATTAGGCAGAAACTTCCGTGACTGCTGCGTTCGCCGAGCCTATCCCCACTTTTCTGCGACCTCCCCTTCCTTCACAATGCGTCTTCACAAAAAGGAAGTTTCTGTGCCCCCCCTTATCATCAATTTTGTCTTCCATTGGGGCATGAACATTCAGAACAATGATATCACACCTGCAAACTCTTAGTATTATGTATGACATCCTATCACTGACAAACTCTACCCTCTTAACTGCTGATATGATTCTCTTATGTACGAAAAACCTGTACTTAATTCACGATTCTCATGCCCCTTTTCATAAAAAAATGTATATTCACCTGCTGGTTCCTCACCACCTCCGTCTCGTCTGACCTCCTGTACTCCCACTAAATCTAACTGATATTTTGAGATTTCTTTTTCTTAGGTCGTTTATCCATATAATCTGTCCAGGTCCGAAGTCCTTGAACATTTCCGTAAGAAGCCTATATTTTACGGTGAGGAGTTGTTATTCCCACGCCCAACCCCCAAGCTGGAGGACCACCCCTTGTCGGTTGTCCACGATTGCTAATTCAATATATTTGCAACTACCCTCTGTACCCGGAGGGTGTTTCCTCCATCCACAACCTGAGGACATGCCATGCTGTTGTGACAAAGGACCCACCTAACGTGGATGTTTTAAATCAAGTCATGTCATTTCCATATAATTTTTTAATATGGTTATTGACTGCATATGACTTTTCCTTCCTTGAAACACTGGTTCCCTTGTCTTGGAATTAAAACAACTATCTGTGTTACAGGCAGTGAGTATCCAGCCGTCGTGGAGTTTGCTCCTTTCCAGCGTTTACCCAAAAAGCGCCTGGGTCGTAAAAAAGATCCCAAAATGGGAACATTGGAACAAGATCCAGCATATATCAGCTTCCTTGAGAGCAAAGCAGCTAAGCCTACAGAATCTGGCTCTACTCAGCACTGCTCTCTTGAATACTTCCCTCCTCCAGAGAGTAAGTCACTAATAGATCTTGTTCGTAGTGCTGTAGATTAATTTCAGCTATGGTGTCCTGGGTCCAAACCTTTCTTCACTCACTCCACCTTTCCCTCTCGGGGTTTAAGGGTTTAAGTAACTGATGTATCAAAGGAAATTTTGAGAAGAGTGAGCACCAATGAGAAATATTCTCATTATAAATAAAGGGAGGTGAAGGGTGGTTGGCCAGCTAGGGAGGTTAAACATGAGGTCTCAGGGGTGTTAACAGCTAAAACTCCAGCATCCAGTGAACAGAATTTGGTTTATTAACCATGAAGATTGTATTAAGCAAAAGACTGAAGTTAATTTGTATATAGATACACAAAACAGAACTGGCAGTTATGCACCGTTGGTAGCTTTGAATTAGGAATTAATGTATTTAGTGAACATTCTGATTATAAGGAACACCAATCAACACAAGATACACACAACCAAAGGAGTGGCACACCCAATGGGGCACAGAGCAGCCACAATACAAAAGATAAGAAGAACAAATGTCATATAACACCAAAATTAACCCGTTGCCGTGGTTCGTCGTGTATGTTTCGTCAGGGATTTAAATCGTCTGGGGGGGTTCGACGTGTATGTTTCGTTCAGCTGCACACCTATGTTATAACGCCCATAATAATTTATGGTTTTGCTGTAGATTGT